AAACTGAGACTCAGAGTGAAAAGCCCTGATTGTGTCACTTGCGGTTAAACTCCAATTACTTAGCAGTGGTCTGAGGGTATGGAGAAGCCCTGAAGGTCTCAAGGGAACTAGCAGGCACTTTTTCAGGATTTGGATGAACTTATGTTGGTTATCTGCTCTCTGGCATGGAAGTTTACCCCTTTCTCTGTCAGATTTAACTGAACGACTTCCTTTCCTCCCACCTTGTAAAAGAAAATTTCTTTGGGTGATGGAATTAAAACCCCAAATCTGGGCCAACCCAATATGAGGGTGCAACATGGCACAGTCAGGGTGAGGTGCCTTCTGCACAACGTTGTAGCTGTGATGCTAGACTGGGGATGCAGGTAGGATGCTATATCTGAGTTGCAGAGATTTGAACAACCACCCAATTAATAGCCCGGAGACAGAGAAAACACCCGGGCATCTAATGCCTTCCCAGATTTTTGCAATCCAGAAATGGTGCGCCTCAATCCTACTACATTTCTGCAGAAAACATTTGCAGGCAGAGGGCAGGGGACCACATTTCTGTTGGGTGGCGGTCCTGCTTTTGACTTCCGACTGGAAGAAAAAGTAAGGTCCCGTCCGGTTGCTCTACAAGCCCCCAGCGCACGTGGGGCGATTTTGGACACTACCTCTGCCACAACAGTAGCAGGTGCCAGGTTTTTGTGGGGCAGGGCACAAAGTTGGCTGGGCGATGGCCTCATTCTATCCCATAGCCCTAGCATTTCACAGCATGGCAGTTTACGGCCCCGGGGTTGATCTTATCTGACACATACGTGTTATTGCTCTGTACCTTTTACGTTCCTGGGCCGCCTTTTATCAACCGTATTCCTTCCCCAGGTTAATGCTGGTCTATGGCTGCCATAAACATTGATTTGATTTAACTTGGTTTGAAGATTCTGTGCTAAGGAGACCCTGGATTCCGCCCCTGGCCCCAGAGATTGGCCTCTTTTCATTCATTTATTTCATTATCCATCCACCCTGCAGGGCCACACCGTCCCCATTGGGGTGACTTCCTTTAATCCCTTCCAAACCAAACTTCTCAATCCTGTGGGCTAGAAACTTGTCTTGGCCTGGGCTGCGTACCGAGCATCCCATCCTTTGCTTCATCTCCTCTTACGCACCCATGAATTAAGGCTGCACCCTTATATGCATGGGAAAAACATCTCTCGTCCTCTGAGGCTGAAATGCCTTTGTTTCTGTTTCTGTTTCTGCTTTTGTTTTGTTGGTTTTTTGGAACGGAGCCGGGACTGTCTTGGGAAGCGGTCAGTGGTTTCTCTTTTTCTCAGTGATGCATCAGGAGAGACCAAAGAAAGACAGTAAATCAAGTTTAGGTCTGGCCAGGCAACCTCGGTCCTCTTGAATGACCCTTGCTCCCAGGGGAATATGCCAGCCTAAATCAAATGAAAAAGCGGACCGATATGCTCTTCCAAAGACACAGGGGCATTGTTCGTATTATTCGCATCTTTTATCCTCTGGCTTAGAAACACCATTAAAATGTGGCAAAAGAGAAGCCCCATGAACTCGAAGGGCACAAGAGAAGATCAACCACTCCAGACAGGAGAAGCAGCCCCTTGGAAGCTCTGCGAGAAGCTCAGTTCCCACAGGCAGAGAAAGACAGGATGGTGGTTTATTTCCACTTGCCTTAGCTTGTCCACCAGGCTTAGCCCACCCAGCCAGTTGCAGCCAAGTCAATAAGCCACAGTTAACAGAACCATCGCTTAGCTTGTGTAATGTGTGAACCCAGCGCCCACTGCCTTCCGTGATGAAAAGCTCCGGTTCCGTCCCCCCGTTCACGCCGGAGGACCGTAAAGTTCATCTCTCTTGCTATGTTCCCGCCCCACCGCTGATGTCTGGAACTCTTTTGTGGAGGGTTTAATCACCTTTCTGCAAAATCTCCGGAGACACCAGCACACGTCCTGCTTTGCAGCGCACTCCTTATCAGCACCGCCCCTTCCATCTGTCGAGAGGAGAGTGTGCGGCACACCGTTGCTATGATACAACACCCTTTATATAGCAAGGCCAAATTCCGAGTAATCCAGTTAAAGGGCAAATGAGTCAAGAAAACAATGGGGTAATTGCCCTATTTTTAGACTTGCAGGAGGGAAAGAATGAGTTGGCAATTAACATGCTAGCTTTTCTTCACCTGCCCTGGTCTTGCACCGCTCTGTGGATTGCCGGCTCGCCCTGGTCTCGCTTGTGAGTTAGCCTCCCATGCTGGTTGCTCAAGGCAGGAATGGCGGTTGCGAGCCAGGAGCCCCATCTGGAGTTCAAGATCTAGTCTTGCTTTAAGACAAGGCAAAAATCAGTAGCAAAAATCAGGCAAAGGAGAAGGACTTGTGAGAAAAGAAGCCATGTTGTCCATGTATCTCCAGGGTTCCTTATTTGACTGAGGAGGTGGTGGTGCTGGCGGTGGCCACCTGGATAGACAGGAGGAGGCAGCTCAAAGTGAACCTGGTTGGAAGTTTTGGCAAGATGGAGGGAAGGTGGGACATTGTCCTCACTGGAACCCCACCACCAGCCAGGTGCTGCCATCAGAAATTATTTCTCGGGATCAGAAGTTGTGCACACATTGCTAAGCTTGACTCTGAGAAGCACATCTACAGGGGGTTTGCAACTACACTCCCAAGTCCAGAGATCCCCAGCTTTTCAGAACTGGGAATCCCCGCTGAGTTTGGGGAGCACATTATGGGCTTCCCCCACCTGGTGGTCTCCATGCGTGCTGGGGCTGCAACTTCCCATGTTCTCCAGCCAGCTATATTCTTCTTTGTCCACCTCCTCTTGGAAAGGTGGCTTAACTAATTCCAGCCAGATTATTTTAGTTGGCAGAATCTAAGCCTGAGCAGATAAACTATGGTTTTCTTTGGTTCACAAGCTGCAATATTTCAGCTCATGCACCGTTTGGAAGTAATCGATCGCAGCTATATTGTGGTGAACTTGTTGTGGTCTAGGAGTTTGAAAAGTCTAGAAACTGAAATAAATTTTCAGCTATCAGGAAAAGGCGGGCAAGCAAATGGAGAGGAAAAGGAAGAGAAAAAAAACCAGGGAACAAGAAGACAAACTTATAATTGGGCCTTTAGAAGTCTAGATAATTCCAGGCTGTATCTCTGTTAAGGAAACAGAACTTTAGTCTGATTGTCTGCAGCTCATCCTGGACGCATTATTAGCCAGAGAGGAACCTTGCAATTTAGCCTGCAGGGTTAGAGTTCAAAGTCTGTGTCAAGTATTTTTGTTGAAAAACGTGCATTTTGGGGGTAGGGGGACATTATTGTTCTCTCCCCCCGCAAAATGTTGGCTGTGGGGCTCTTGGGTGCATTTGTTAGGAAAAGTTCCCTACGTGTTGGGCACAGTCATCTCGCTGTGGTGCGGGGTCTTGGCGCAAAAGGATTTGGCGAGGCCTGAGGCTGGTGGAAGAAATGCCCACCTCTGTCTTTGCAAATAGCACATCATGGCCAAGGTGTTTTTTTTAATCAGTCAGGGTCTTATTCCGGCTATTTCCCCTTTTTAAAATCTATCTATGATAGCAGCAGCAGCAGCAGCTTTATCAAATTTCCGGTCCTTATGAACCTTCCTGAGCAGAGAGGAAGGATGTGGTTAACGGCAATTTGGTCCTGCCCCCTTTTTCCGGATGCGGGCGTGGTGAGCAGGGCCACGCTTGCCCCGTTGTACTAGTCAGAAATAGCTGGATGAAACCGTGTTTCGTTGGCTCGCTGTTGGCGTTGTGGCTTTGCCGATCATCACAGGAAGGCAGGGAGCTGGAAGCCTTTTAGCACTCCCTGGCGATGCAAGAGCGTATCCGCCTCGCTTTCTCCAGTTGGTGCTAAAATGCTCCCTCGTCCATCTGGCACAAACGCTGAACATCAGCCTGTTGCTTCTGTGCATGCTATTCAGTTTACACACACACGTATATGTGTATATATGTATATAAATGTATAGATATATATGTAACAAGACCATGTTGCAGTGAACTCATGTATAAACTCAGTGCACCATGGTGATAGCTACTTTGAGGTTTTAAGGCAGCTTGGAAACCGGCAGCTCCTCGGAGCCGAAGCAAAACACCTTTTCGCTCGACTCCTTTTATTAATTTCATTTCCCAACCAGTCTCCGTTCCTTGGCCTGGGTGCAGACCTGTTTCGAAATGCCATATAAAGCAAAGTAATCACGGAGCAATAAAACAGTGTTTATAGATAGATAGGAATAATAATATGGGATTAATATAAAATAGGATATTCATAATGTAATAATGGTGCGGTGATAATAATGGTACTGACAAAATCTCAGCGGAACCAGAACCAGAATAATTGTCAACGCCTGTTAAATGTTTGTCTAATTTGGAAATTAGGGAGAGTAATCAGGGAGAATAATTTGGGAGAATAAAAGCGTGCTGTCTTTCCACCGAAAAGGCTGCGAGATGGACGCTGGAGAATTTATTCGGGAATGTCATTTCTTGCACAGCCTGGTGTGTCATGAGGACCGGATCGTATCCCCTTCTGTAATACTTCCATCTTCCCAGCCAGCGACTTTATCTTCCCTCCTTACTTTCTGATTTATGTTTATTTTTTTCTGTTGGAGTGAAAAATTAAAAGAAAACAACCAACACTGTGATGGTGTAATTTCTGCCCATGTGGCTATGGGGTGGCCTGGGGGGCTGAGAACTGAAATGGCCAAAAAGATGGAGTGCCAGATTTTTGAAGGACCTTCCCTTCATGTCATCCCTGCTGTTGACATGGAAAGAGTAAGATTAGGCAACTAAGAGGCACAGGGGAGATGGCGTCACCCAGATTTCTCAACCTAACTCTCCCAACTTCATCGTCTGGTCCAGATGGCCCGGTTTTTCTATTGGCACGACCCCCTCAGGCGAACAGGGCCAACCAGTTGTCTTTGCCAGACAGGCTAATGCCCCCTTTGGGTGCCCAAGGCTTCCCACGCCTCTCGTCCTGCAGCCCTAAACTCTGCCCTGTTGTCTTTCTCACCTGAAGGTCCCAGCAGCTACACCGTGGGCACCATGTCCGAACGCTTTGATTGCCACTATTGTCGCGCCCCACTGCATGGAAAGAAGTACGTGCAAAAGGAAGGCCGCCACTGCTGCGTCAAGTGCTTTGAGAAGTTCTGTGCCAACACCTGTGCCGAATGCCGGAAGCCCATTGGGGCCGATTCCAAGGTAGGGGGTGAAGCTGGAATGCCTCCCGTTGCCATGATAAATCCCTGAGATTACTACAGGCTGGGTGGGGTTCTTCTGACAATTGTGTTGTTTTCCTTACACGAGATCAGCCTGAGCAAGAGATTTTGGCCACTGAGTTGGCTGACGGACTTGACTGATGGACTGATGGACTGTGTGTTACCTAATTGACTTCTATGATATTATAAGACAGCGCATTCAACTGACTTTTACAACTGCACACTTAGTATAATTCCTGCTTTGTGAGAGCCAGTGTGGCGCTGTGGTGAAGGGAGACGCAGGTTCTAGTCCTCCCTTAGCCACAGAAGCCAGCTGGGTGACCTTGGGCCAGTCCCTTTCTCCCAGCCCTGGACTAGGAAGTTGAAAAACATCTGTCTTTTAATTTGCATTGGACCAGTATGATAAATTATGGCCCATAACCCTCAGTGTAGAGGCCTTAATTCTGCAATGGGTGATCATCTGACTGTTGGTGGCCAAGGTGGCCCATTTCTGATGAGGCACAAAAGTTGGGTTCCCATTGTGCTAAATCAGGGGCGTTCAACTTCCTTCAGCTCAAAACTGAACTCCAGTTTCTAGAGAGTGTTCAGGGTTCTTAGGGGTAAGTACGAGGCATGAAGCCTCTGTAAGGCTCAAGGCACCCATGTTGCCCCTTAAAATCTGTCCTCTTAAGCAAAAGGGCCAACCTTGTGGCGAACCTACAAAAAGAGCGCTGAAGGTCCACCATTTTTGCATACACCTGGATGAGAAAGCATGGTGGAATCATGGAGGAACCTGGCAAGAGGGCTTTCTCACCTACTCACACTTACTGTCTCAGGGAGGCATGGGGAGAAATGGTGGAAAGAGGGAGAAACCCCCCCCCACCACAACCCATTTGATTAACACTTCGTTAAGAGGCTGTGATGGCTCGATCCTTCTTGAACAATGGTTGACTGTTCGGATGATGGTGCAAAAGCTCCTCTCTGGACTGATTGCCCCAGAAGGGGAAGCGGAGCAGACCCACTTTTGCTCCTCAGAGTTCCAGTTTCAAACGGCTTTCAAAGCGTTCTCTCTCGATCTTGCAGGAGCTGCATTTCAAGAACCGCTACTGGCACGACACCTGTTTCCGCTGCTTCAAATGTTACACGTCTCTGGTGAACGAGCCCTTCATGCTGAAGGAGAACAACAAGGTGTGGTGCAATAAATGCACCAGCCATGAAGCGCCTCATTGCAAAGGCTGCCTGAAGCCCATTGTGGCAGGTGAGGGTGCTGGGCAGGGCGAGTCTCCTTCTCGGGTGGCTGGTCCTCCTTGACCGTGGAACGATTTGTACGCTGGGGAGATGAGGGCTGGTTGACCCATAACATGAAGGCCTAACATGACTTCTTGGGTTGATAGCTTAGCATGTGGGGTGAGCCCAGCCAACTGTGGTTTGTTCAGCAAACTCTGGAGTCCTTGGGGCTCTCTGAGCTTGGTTGTTTTCTTGCAAACGTTTCATTACCCCGGCTAGGTCACATCTTCAGTGCTAGCATGTGGCTTAGAAAGGTAAGGTCTCTTTGAGTTGAGGTAGACTTCCTGGACACCTCCATACTGTGGAAACGTTTTGTCATTTGCAATGATTATTTTTCGTTCTCAAGATAATCTACAGGCCTGGGAGTTTCTGGAGGTCTCATCAAAGGGCTAAACAGTGTTAGCCTGCTTAGCCCTTTCTAAGATCAGCTAAGGTTGCAGGGATGCAAAAGTGCAGGGATGCAAACGTGTGTGTGTGTGTGTGTGTGTGTGTGTGACATGAACTTATCAGCATTAGGCCCTCTTGACACTGTTAGGCTTTAGGGGTGGTGGGGGCAAAATGGGCCTTAAGATAGAGGCACAAGGCACCCCTTTCACCCCTTAAAACACCTGAATTCCCCTTCCCCAAATGGGCCCTGGTCCCACCCAGTTTTGGAGAATGGCCATGACATTGTGAACCCCTTAAACTGATGAACGTTGCGTGCCCTGTCTTAGGGCAAGGTGGGAACCGAGTCTTTGTCAAATCCCTGAAAAGTTAAGAGCCAATTGAAGCATCCTGTAAAGTGACATGGTAGAGCCCCATGGGGACCCTGTAACTCAGGGGTCCTCCACCCCTCGCCCAGGTTTTTTCTGTTGGGGTGTCTCTCTGCTCCCCTCACCCTCCACCCGCC